CCTGCCTGGATCTGTTATTATCTCACTCTGAAGCATGGAGGAGTGTCAGAGGTGAGCTCGTTTCAACTGATTTTTACGACGTGGTCTCATTTCTGGAGTCAGGCATTTTGTGAATGAAGCCGATATTTGAGTTAAAATACATAAATAAAAATATTTATCTGAGTATAGTACTACCTCCCAACTTTATGGATGATTTTATGGATTAAATTTTACGTATTATACTTGAATACGGTAAAWATCAAAACAGTGCTTTAGATAAATGATATAATGAAATATTGCAATATTTCATGTATCAATATTTTCTTACACACCTAGACATCGCATGTTATTTTCAAGGTTTGACCAAAACTGCTACATGATCTTAGTCTAAACCTCTGCAGGTGATATGCACTCCTTTAAGGATGGTTAGGTCTTTAACTGTAGCAGGTTTTGACATATAAACACTAATTATCAGGACAGTTTTTAACAAACAGCTCTGGGTCTTGATTGTGATATAATATTCATAAGAAGTCAGTGAACCTCAGAACACAAGCAGAAAGAACCAGTGAAGGATGATTTGTCCAACTGGAGGTTAGCTCAGGGACAAATGGGAGAGAAAAAACAACCTAAAACCTCTCTGAACTTTTCCGTCTGCAGTGATTACAGTAAAGGACTTGGATATGACCTCTCCTGATTTTAATTGGAACAAATTACAGGTGAAAAAAATAAAAAATGGAAATAACGTGTTCAACACTGATGTGGAGAAGTTGCAATTTGCATGCATTAAAACTTCAGCTCCAACTTCAGCCACGTTTATCAAACTATAAAGCAAAAGTCCAACATAGGGCTTAAAGTCCAAATACTCTGTACCCTAAAGACTTCAGTTTGTGACGTTTACGATAATTACACCTCAGTTTGACTTTATTTTGTGGAGAAAGGTAAGGCTCTGTTAAAATATCTGCCTGGGACAACAAGGATTCAATTTATATTCATATTCACTTAAATTAGCTGTAAATGTTTTAATGTTTTAATCTGCCGTGAAACCACAAAATGGTTACAACTTAGTTTTACTGATGTTTTGTGAGTTTTGAAGTTGAGAGTCATGTCTAACACAAACCCTGAGTGCTAACAGATCAAAGTTTGTTTAAAAGGCTGGTAAACAAGGTGGTGAATAGTTTCATTAAATATTAAATGTCATTTTAAATTGTGACATTCAGTAATACTTTGACCATGAAGTTGACATAAATAAGATTTAAATTAAAATTCAACAAACTGAAGAAATATATTTGGTCATTTAGAAACAGATTTTAAAAGCACCACACCACATTCATAGTTTTCATTTTTAAGTATTGATTGTTATAATCTATTGTTTGACTATTGTTATGTCTTGATTAAAATAGGTTTAGATACATGCCTGAAACACCATCACAACACATAAAAAAACCGTTAATCAAACATGAGGACAGGGTGTCTGTTGAGTGTCTGCGATTCAGCCGTAGGCCTGTAGTGGGCGTACCAGGCACTGAAGAGCCATGTACTTATAGACCGGGACTTCCGGTTTTTATTCAGCGTTGGTTTCTGCCTGCACAGAGAGCATTAAACCACCGTTCACTYTGGTCACTGGTGTTGTATGGTCCTTCCCTTCACATTTTAATCTATTCAACATTCAGGTGGTTTCGTCACGATTTCAGTTAACGAACACTAAATTTTCTTACAAAACTATATCACTAACATGTTAATCAATAAGAAAACAGAGGGGTGAGATGGACTTACGTTGGCCCCACTGGCCGCTGTTTGGGTTCAGGTAATTTGGGTAGAGCCCCTGAGGTTTTTCCAGGCGGTTAAGGACTTTCCTGATGGTCATTACCTTTTGGTAAACAAACAACACAAATTAGAAATCAGTTTCTTTGAAAATGTGGAGTGAATGCTGAATGACTTTACAGACATTTGCTAAAGTAGTTGAAACTGTTTAAGACATTACATATTGTAATAAATATGAATGCATTTTTAGAAAGATAACATAAATATCATACTACAACATTTTTTTCACATTGCTGAGATGAACGGTTCTTGAGATATTTGCATGTGAAGTAACAGGAAAATGACAGAATGTAAACAGAGCTTTGCTAAAACAGCCAACAACCTAKACTGTGGAGAAGCATCTACTGTTTCTTTTGATTATTTTGAGTCACTTTCGGTGAGATGAAGAAGAATCAGAGTTCTAATAATATTGCTTCAATAAACAAAGATCAGGGAGTGTGATGTCACTTCCTGTTCCACTTTGGCTGAGCCAAGTTAAAAAGAAAATATGTCAGATATGTGACGAAACGGGTAAAATTATGTGTATTATGCCAAGTTTCTTAAATATAAAGATAGTTTCTTTGACTTTTTGTATTTGAAGGATATGCATGTCACATGCACTTTAAAGTTATAAGAAACAAAAAAATTTTAGCTAAAAGATGCAAAATTCTAACTATAAAAGCAGCAAAAGCTTAGCTAAATGCTAAAGTAGAAAATGTATCAATAATTACCAAAAGGCTAGATGATAACTAAAGGTAGCAAAAGACAACTGAACATTAAAAAATAGTGAAAATATTTCAAATACACCAAAGTGGTTCGATTCCAAAAGGCTTATAAAATATAGAAACATGAAAATAATGAAACAACAGGAAACACAGCATCTCTGTTCTGTCCTCTCTTTTGTTACCTTCTGAGCAAACTCAGGTTTTCCTGAGAGTACACTGAGGTGCATGAACTCCAAATGCAGGGTGCCGTATTCTGCCAGGATGCTGCTCCCACCTGACGCCCACGGCCAGTTTCTACCAATACCACTGGACAGAGAAAAGAGCAGAGGAGGAGGGTCATTACTCCATCAGGGAGGAAAACACTGAGTTACAACAATGTGTATAAGATGAGTGCAAATTGTTAACTGACTGATCCCTAAATTTGTTTTGTACATTAAAAAAACCCCAGCTAAAGTCATTTTAGCTTTAGTTTGTAGTAAAATGCAGAATTGCTTGGTTGGAAATAAAATTGGTTTACAATTTAGGAGGCCATTTGTCAGCAGACAGGAAATCCTGCTTGTTTTGATGCTAAACTTGCAGCTGAATAAAAGATTCTGGATCCTCAAACATTTAGCTGCTCATGTTGCTTTTGAACAGTGTTCCCAACCAGGGGGGCCTGAGAGCAAAACAAGTTCAAGTTAGTTCCTTCTTTTTACCTTTTCCAAATAAAAGTTTGTCACTATTCACATTTTTCTTTGATTTTGACAAATAATAATAATTATAATAAAAAACATAAAAAAATAAATAAAGGTTTAATATATCTTTGGTAGAGATCCATCCATTCCACTAGGGGGCTCTATAGATTGTTTACTTTGGTTCTGAAGGACTGTGTTGGCTGTGCCGCAAATACAAGAAGATAACATACAAAAGAAATTAAGAAAACTATTACATTTACAGTCCATTTATTGTCCAATGTGGTAAATTGTTTGTAATTGCGTTAAGTGCGTAACTGTGTAGATTAATTTTGTGTTAACTTCTGAGAAATGTTCTGGAGAAATTAGCTTAATGCTAGTGGTTTTCTATGGGGTTTAGCAATTAGTTAGTGCCATGCTAACACTTGTTTTTTCTACAGTTTGGATTAACATTGATGTGTTATTGATTCTAATATTTTAAGAGCAAATTAAATGTAGTTTATGTTTTATTTTCTGATGTGATTCAACACAGCTTTAGTTGTGTTGCTATAAAGCTCAAATGCATGTTTATAAATTAGTGTTTGTATGATTGATATAAAAGATTAAGTGACATTTAGGCAGTGTATTTCAGTGGGCAATAAACAACAACTCTATGTTATTCGTAACATGGGGAGTAGCGAAAGGAGGGAGGTCCTTGGCTTGGGAGTAAAAATGGGGATCTTTGACGTAAACCGGTTGGGATACCATTGATGTAAACAAAAATATCTTCATCTTTTGCTTCTATAAATTCCTATAATAACTAAATAAACATATTATGTGTCAGGTTATTGACATGAAATAAAAAAAACTACACATCACATTTTAACTGTTTCGGATGTTTTCATTTTGCTTTCCCTCAAAGCCTGTTGAGGACTTTCCTCTTTGTTCTCTGGACACATATCAGGTTTGCCAGGTAACTCTGACAAATACAAAACACACTGCAACAGTGTGTCTGCAGCATCATTAAGAGCACTAATGAAACCATTTCAGGCCAGAGACTGATGACTTTGATGGTGATGCCTCAAGTTAGCACTCATGAATACATATTGGCTATTTACTTCCCTGTTTGTGCGACACGAAGCACACAGTCATGTTCAGAGATGGCAGGAGCAGCGAGCACATCCAGGAAACGAGAGGGGGAGATGAAGAGATCTGTGAATTGGGAGAAGAGCCGTCCTCACATAGATCTCTTTAAGGAGGTGGATGAACATACGAATTATCACCCCCTCCTTTCAAGTCATCATGCTGCACAAGTCGTAATTTGTTTCTCATTACACCCCGGATTTAATCAAGTCAACCAAACACGGGGGCAGACGGCGCCAGAGAGGAATCAGGTAGAGAGCAGGGAGGCAGCTCAGGGTCACTGGTGAAAATCCCATCAATGCAGACCCTGATTAATTTAGGAGCTCCGTGTTTGTTAGCTTTTAGATTAAACTGATGGTTGGAGTTTGGTTTAAATGATGTCAACTTTATCTCAAACTACAGCTGCATTGACAACACTTTAACCTCTGCTGACTTGATCTGCCTGTCCATCTTCCTCAATCCTTTTATAAACTCCGTGATGAACAATAAATCTCTTTGCTTGATGGGGTGGTGCAGCAAACACCTACCCAACTCATGCATGTCCACCACAATCCCACCCAAAGCTCTACTGCCAGAAACATTAAACCCCTGATAAGGCAGATAAAACAATGCTGCTGTGTAAACCAAAACACATGGACCAATGAGTAAATGAATAAGGGTGTGGTACACATGTCAGATCGTGAAGGCGTGTAAACTTTCAAAGATCTGTGATGCTGACAGGGAGATTATAAGAAATAAAAAAGCTGTCAAAGGCAGTGTTTGTGTTTTATTAATTACTAGAATTATTAAACTATCCATCTATTTTCTGTTGCCTATACAGAACGTGACGTCCTCCAGTTCCTCCTAGGGGTTCCAAAGGTATTTGCAGATCAGGAACGATACACGACCCCTTCAGAGTTATGGATCTGAGCTGGGGTCTCCAAGTGGATGTGCCTAGAAAACTTCCAGAAAAGGCAACCAGAATGCCAACGAATCAGAAGCCTGACCCACCTCAACTGAGTAAGGGGTCTCTACAGTAGGTTTTGTCCTGTGGGCGGAGACGTCCCTGCTTGTGATTGGCGGAGGTTTCGATGTGGGCGAAGATGGCCCAAGAGATGTGATTGGTCGGATTGATGGTGGGGTTTGAGGAGGCTGGAGGCAGCGGGGAGTAGCTTGATCGAGTCGGGCAGGAAGCAACGTTTTTTAAGATTAATTTTAGTCATAACTTGAGAAAGGAATATGCTAGCTGCACTCCTAACCAGCCTGTAAAAAATATTGAATTTTAGCTATTTTTTACAGGCTGGTTAGGGATGTTTTAACCAAGCCATATTGTTACACATCCTTTCACATGTATGTCGTTCAAATTTCATACAGCTAGCATATTCCTTTCTCAAGTTATGACTAAAATTAATCTAAAAAAACATGTTACTTCCTGCCCGACTCGACCAAGCTACTCCCCGCTGCCTCCAGCCTCCTCAAACCCCACCGTCAATCCGACCAATCACATCTCTTGGGCCATCTCTGCCCACATTAAGACCACCGCCAATCACGAGCAGGGACGTCTCCGCCCACATCAACACCTCCGCCAATCACGAGCAGGGACGTCTCCGCCCACATTAAGACCTCAGCCAATGACGATTTGGGCCGTCTCCGCCCACAGGACAACACGTTCTGCAGAGACCCCTACTTGCCTCAACTAGATTTTTTTGATGCAGAAGAGCTGAGGTTTTACACCAAATCAACAAGAGCCGGACTGAGTCTTAAATCTACTTCTAATTGTTTTAAATGTGACTTTATTATACACCATCATCAAAAGGAGGAGTTTAAGTATCTGGGTGTTTTGTTCCTGAGTGATGGTAGGATGGAGCAGGAGATTGACTGATTGGGGCCTCGTCCTCAGTAATGAGGGTGTTGTTTCGGTCAGTCATGGTGAAGAAAGAGCCGAGTCAAAAGGCAAAGCTGTCGATTTACTGGTCTGTCTACATTCAAACCCTCACCTGTAGTCATGAGGTGTGGATTATGATCGAAAGAACGAGAACGAGATCCTGGATACAAGCGGCTAAAATGAGCTTCCTTTAAAGTGTGGCCGGGCTCAGCCTTAGAGACAGAGTGAGGAGCTCCATTATCCAGASGGAGCTCAGAGTAGAGTCGTTGCTCCTCTGCATCGAAAGGAGTCAGGTGAGGTGGTTCTTCTGATTAGGATGCCTACTGGACACCTATCTTTAGAGGTATTCCATGCATGTCCCACTGGTAGAAGGTCCTAGGGAAGACCCGGGACTCGCTGTAGAGTGTACATATCCTGTCTGGACTTGTGGTCCCYGAGTATGAACTGGAAACTGTTGCTGAGGAGAGGAATGTATGTTTCTCTCCTAGACCTGTTGACTTTGTGACCCTACTATGGCTAAGTGTCAGAAAATGGATAGATGGATTATTACATGCGCATAAACACACCAGGCAACAAAAGTAGGCTAAATAATTCCATACAAACTAAAAAACTTAAGTGTGACTCCTTGTGACTGTGTGTTGAAATAGTTACAGTGAGGGAATTCTGACTGAACTGATACATTTACGCCAGTAAATCCAGAAACTCCGGGTCATTGAGCTCCTTCTGCTCCACATTGGACCAAATGAACCCGTTTGAAAAGTTGCCCTGGGACAATCAATCAGAATAAGTCTCATTGTTGCTACAGTCACCTGGGACTGGAAAACGGCATTAATTCATTGGCGTATGGAACAATAAAACCACATTAGTCAGTCCGAGTCCACTGTTATGTTTGACTACTGATGCACGTGGCCCAGTGGCCCAGTTTGCAGAGGTCCATTTAACAGCTGCATGCTCCACATCCCTTCCTCTCACAAGGACTACTAAAGAGACTTATTAGCTTTAAGCCTTGAAGGACATTATTTGCTTTATGGTTTATTGAACAGCAGAAAATACTGAACTATTATGCAAATGTTGATGTTTAAGTGCTTAAAGTTTTAGTTATTCTTCAATAGGCCTTGACTGGCTTTTTATTATAGTTTTGTAGAAATTTTTAAACTTTACGTGTACAATGAGAACAATGTCTGCTGGCTTTTTATGTGTCTTTGGTTGACTTTTAAACACGACCAAGATTGGAAATAAATTCTATCAGACTAAAAATTGAAAAAAGTTCAATCAATTAGTGAAAAAGCAGAAGACTTCTCTAAATTCACTGCTTACAATGTCTTAGTTATGCCAAAAATGTAACTTTTGCTCTCTAAATTGCTATTTAAATTCCATCAGCATCTGATTACTCAAAATTAAGAAAAATCTTTTTAGTGCAAGCACTTTTTTTTAGAAACTTAACTCTAAAGTTCTATTTGTGCACAGAAACCCAACAAACACAAATGTATACATGTCAATATTATTACAGTATTAAAGACTACGATGAGTGTAGTTACATTTCAATAATAAGCTAAAATTTTCTTTGTTGTTACGATGCTTCTTGGCAATAGATCCTAGGATTGGCAGCGCTTGGGGGTACCAGAAACTTAAAGGAAGTGTCAATACCA